TATATAGGTATACATATAATTAATGGGATATTAGTTATACAGATATATAACTAACGAGCCAAAATTAATAAACAAATTGCAAATTTATTATTATTTTCAATAATTTCGCATGTAGTTTGCTTTATTATATTGATATGTTTTCACAATAATAATTAAAATCAGAACATATAAATTTGGAAATTTGGTGCAGCAATAAACACAATAAATTATTTATATGTTGGTTGCATGTATTTGATTAATTAATATATTTTTGTACAAAAAACTGCATGAATTATGAAAATATTATACTTTATATAACTTGCTTATGTATTAACTTATAATTCATATATAAAACATAATAGGTATTACTAAGCATAAATGTAAATATAAGAATTTTTAGATGTACATTTGTACATATATGATAACGTAACAGTTTATGTGCAGATAATTATTAAAAATATATACTTTGTATGTAGCGATATATAATCAGAATATCTTTTGAGCAATATTACATTCTTGAAGATCAATAATTGGCAATGAAATAAAAGTAATATCGCAATATAATTAGTAGTTATACTTTATTAATAATCATAATGTCATCAATTAAATAAGTAGTTATCTCATATATTAAAAAATGCTCTAGTGTCACACGTACTTAATTTATTATTATTTTTATTTTATTATAATTTATTGAAAAAAGTCTCGATATGTGAAGCAATGGCAAATGTAGATCTCTATTGTATGTTTATATTAAATAGAATTTTCATTGTGAGTAAAAAAATTATCAACAGACGTATTTTTTCCATACACAATTTGTGGACCAATATTCTTATCTTGCTTTCTTAAAAAATCGAACATAGATACGCGCGAATAGTATCAACAATGCTATAACGCAAATAACAGCAAGCGTTATATTATCATGTTTTCTTGCAAACGTTGCACTTTTCAATTTTTAGATATAATGTCTATGCGATAAAGTAAGTACAGAAGATACAAAGTTTAAAGAAAAATTTAATTATTATAAATGGTGTGTGTTTTAATTATATGAATGTGTATTTCAAATAACGTGAGTGATAATATTCACATTAATTACGTAAGTTATAAGAAGTACAGTTCATGCAAAAACCTATGTATTTAATTAATCTTACAATTTACACTTTAAGACAAAAATATAGAATCATATCAAAAAATAACTTTAACGAGACATTGTGGGCATGGTTGCGTATTCTTATTAGTCAAACGTATTCTTATTAGTCTGCAAACACAATAATTATAAAATAAATATAAAAATATGTAGAAATAAAAAATTGTATATTCTCTCTCTTCCCAATTATATTTATATCTATTGACATAATTTTCTTTTTATTTAAATTATTTATTTATACGACATACATTTAAAAAACTTGTACTATTTTAAAATAATTGGCATTATTTTATTCAATTATAATGCACATACACGGAAGTTGCGTAAGCATATTGTTAATTGTATTTATTGTTGTTCATGTTCATGTTCATGTTCATGTTCATGTTCATGTTCATGTTCATGTTCATGTTCATGTTCATGTTCATGTTCATGCTCATGTTTGTGTTCTTTATGATCACCAGTGTGTTGTCCTCTCTCAGAAACAAGCTTATCTGCAGCTTTTAAATAACATGTCACTAGAGCAAAACTTTTCTCGCATTTATCTGTATTATCTTTTACTGCAACACAAACAAAATTAATAAAAATGACGAAAAAGTAAAGTATATTGTAAGATATAAGTAAAGTATTATATGTTATGCATTTTTTATTATAACATTATTATAACATTAAACTAGCAAAATGTAAATTAATTAATATTCTGCTTATGAATTTATTTAATGTATAATGATATCCATTTTTTTTCTGAACGTAGTCAATAACTTTATTTTTATTATAAAAATTAGAATATGCATATAATATTGTTATACCTTTTTCTATGCAATCATCGAGAGCTTTGTAATAGTCGTCTCCTGGCTGAGCATTTGTCTTTCCAGTAAACTGAGTACGTATATTCTCTATTTTAAATTCCGATTCTTCTATCTATTATTTTGTAAAAATGTAAAAGAAATATAAATGTGTGAAGAATATGAAATATCAATAAAAATTGTTTTTTTAACAATATAAAAATTATACTTTACATTATTTAACGCAAACCATATTTTTATATTGATATCAAATGTGATAATATATATTAATAATTAATATGCTGGCTTTAAAAACATAAAGACATTATAAAATTATTACATTTATATATTTAATATTTTATAATTTTATAATTATATTTAAAAATATAGTTTGTACAATTTTAAACGTCGTGTACAAAACTATCGCCAAAGAAGCTTACCATATTTTGTTTTTGCATTATGCAATAGATTAAACAACCATTCTTTCTTAGTTTTTCTTGATCTTCAGTTTATATATATATATATATAATGTATATATGTAGTTTAAAATTTTGTCATATCTATATAGAAGCAATTTAAAAAATCTATAGATTTATATAAATTAAACTTTAAGTGCGAATAAATAACGCCTTCTATTCATTTCTATATTTCAGTAAACTTTAAAAAAAGTTTATTTCATGAGACAGTGATCTTTCCACGAAGATATTTTATGTGAAATATTAAAAATTGTGAGAGATCAAACATGAAATAAACAATTTTGGTATGTTTGTAAAATCACTGGCTTAATCACACAATTCTTAATTAAGAAAAAACACAAATTGAATAAAAGTAAGTAGGAAATAGCTAATTAAGAGCCTGGCGCGGTAAATAATGCGCAAATTAATTTATATATATGTGTTTTTTGTTTATTGTGATAATGAACATTTCGGTCCTAGTATTTGGACCATCCTCAGCAACCGTCAATACAAAAATTATGTATTGACAGTTGCTGAGAATGATCCAAATACTAGGACCGAAACATTCATTATCACAATAAACAAGAAACATATATAAAAATTAATTTGCGCATTATTTATTATTCGCGCCAGGCTCTTAATTAGCCCGCTATTCCCTACTTAGTTATTTAATATCAGAGCCTTTTATTTCATATTTGAATAAAAGTCTTGTATAAATTAATAACTTACTATCAGTGGTATCAGTTTCAGTTAGGCAAACGCTGTAGTCTTGTTGGTTGGATCCTAGTTTCCTATCAACAACTGGAGTGCTACCTAAGATGGCAGGCTAAAATATATGCAATTATATTTTATAAATTATATTAATTAATTTTCTCATTTATTTGTACATTATTAGATGTTAATTATTATGTTATATAATTTAACATTTATAATTTAATTTAAATTAAAAGCTAAAAATACTTCAAAGATATCTTTATAAGAAAATCTTCTTTTCTTTACTTATAGTTTTAACTCTTTGTTTTATGGCAAAGTAAGATATTTACAACAAATGCAAAAACGATAACGTAGAACCCGCGCATCATCTTGCTTGTATAATTTCTCTTGTCTAAATACTTTGCAGAGCATAATAGCATCATCGTATTTATATCGTTCGCACATATAAAATGCATAGATAAAATCACGAGGCCATAAATTATGTAAACATAAAACATGTGATGTAGAACAAGGAAAATTATACTGATAATTTACTAATATTTACATTTTCTTACTGCTGCAGATATGAGATACTACAATATGAGATGCATACATACAATTTCCTTACATACATATGTATTTGTTATTCTTATTATCTTTATCTTCCCCAGTCCGTACCTCTTGTCAGAGGGTGGTGACCCCTCTACATATATCTACGATGTGCGCCTTTTTATAGTTTTTTGCAAACATATGGGACCTACAGTTTAATGCCGGTTCCGAACGATCTAGATTAGAGAGAGGTTCTCTTATCTTTATACCAATATTTTTATGCTAGTTTTATGCTATAAGTTCCAATCCAATACATAAATTAACATGCGTTTGTTTATCTGCGCTTTCTATTCCATAAATTTCAGAGTAGGTTTCTGGTGACTGACACGTCGAAAATGTTCAAAGAATAGGTTAAATTCTTGGGTGACACGTTATCCGTTCCAGTTAACAAGCACAAAGTTGCATCGAAAGCTTTCACGTACATGAGTTTCAAATTTGTCTAATATTATGCCGTTATCAGAATTATATCTGTTATCGACTTACGTTTTCTCATTATCCGTAAACTTTATATATATATATATATTGTTCTCTATTAACTCATAAAGTTTACGGATAATAGAATAGAATTGTGCTTGATATATATGTAATGCATATTTGTTCGACTTATATAAAGAACAAGCACAACGCTATTTTATTTGATTTTATGTCTATTCAAAAAGGAGAGAGAGAGAGAGAGAGAGAGAGAGAGAGAGAGAGAGAGAGAGAGAGAGAGAGAGAGAGAGAGAGAGAGAGAGAGAGAGAGAGAGAGAGAGAGAGAGAGAGAGAGAGAGAGAGAGAGAGAGAGAGAGAGAGAGAGAGAGAGAGAGAGAGAGAGAGAGAGAGAGAGAGAGAGAGAGAGAGAGAGAGAGAGAGAGAGAGAGAGAGAGAGAGAGAGAGAGAGAGAGAGAGAGAGAGAGAGAGAGAGAGAGAGAGAGAGAGAGAGAGAGAGAGAGAGAGAGAGAGAGAGAGAGAGAGAGAGAGAGAGAGAGAGAGAGAGAGAGAGAGAGAGAGAGAGAGAGAGAGAGAGAGAGAGAGAGAGAGAGAGAGAGAGAGAGAGAGAGAGAGAGAGAGAGAGAGAGAGAGAGAGAGAGAGAGAGAGAGAGAGAGAGAGAGAGAGAGAGAGAGAGAGAGAGAGAGAGAGAGAGAGAGAGAGAGAGAGAGAGAGAGAGAGAGAGAGAGAGAGAGAGAGAGAGAGAGAGAGAGAGAGAGAGAGAGAGAGAGAGAGAGAGAGAGAGAGAGAGAGAGAGAGAGAGAGGGAGAGAATTATTATAT